TAGGGTGATGGTCCTGAGTGCTGGTAGCAGGTAGGATAGTAAAGACAGGGGGTGCGCTGGGAGTATTAACGTGGGGATAAGTAGGGTAGGTGGCCTATCCTGTCAGGACAATCATTGGCTGCTGCCGCCAGCAATCACCGTGGGTCTGGTCCTTGGCCTCTTCAACACCCTGGGCTTTAAAAAGAAAAAAAAGAGAAGAGAAAAAAAAGTGAGTGCAGTGTGGCAAAGCACACTCACGAATGGATTTCCACGCCGTCCACGTCTTCCGACTTCCGGGAGTACTCCCGAAGTTTTTTCCCAAGTTGGGAGTGGTGTGGCGACGCTCATACTCACACGGGAGAGGCCCACTACCCAAATTTGGGTACGGGCTCGTGTGTTTCCAGCATATGGGTATGCCGGCCGGGTTATGAGAGAGCATGCGCACTATGACCAGCGCTGGACCTGCTAGGGGGGGGGAGGGGGGAGGGGGAGAGGGGAAGGAGGGGATGCTCATATCACGCCAGGTCGGTGTTTCAAAAGGGAAAAAAAAGGCTCATGTCAACTGGTGGTTTAAATACAAGAAGATAATCCTCCAGATCTTTCATCGACTTTTTTTTTCTTTTCTTTTTTTTGGAAAATTGCTCCAAGCTATTTGTGGCCAGAGTGCTGGTCATTGTGCTCTTTTTTTCGCCGGTTCACGTGGTAAGAGCACTTGGCTTCGGGCCTGGGCCAGTAGGGAAAGGAGAGGCCACGTTGAAAAGGGCACCGTTTCTTGGAAGGTTACTTTGTCGACTTAGGGCCTCGCCACACAACTCTCGAAATGGGAAAAAGACAAAAATGTGGCGGGTGCATCTGGCCATGATCTAGAGAGAAATTCATCATCATTTTGCACATTTTGAGGGTGGTGTGGCGAGGTCCTTAGGCTCGCCGCTTTCTTCTCTTTTCTTGTCTCGCCTTGTTTGTGTTTTAAAGCAACAAGTGGACCCAAAAGATTTTGCGAAACACCGCAGCCATCAGTTGGACCCCATCTTTGCAATGCACCCCCACGGGACGCTGCGCAATTTTGCAAAATGCCCCGGCAGTTGCCAACTTTTCGTACTAGGTGCAATCGCAAAAGGCCGAGAGAATTTGCACACCCACCTCAACAGGGGCATAACACAAACATGTTAGTTCAAAAGGCCATTCCACTGTGCCCATATCCTTTTGGGACATTTTGACATATATCTCAACTTATGGGGGTATTTGGAAAATG